TCCACGGCTTAGAGGGAGCGTGGTGAGGTATTGGCCTGCAGTGCCATGGTTTACTCTAAAACTGATAAGTTTAAACCGTTTCACTGTTTACTTACAAGTATTTTTAAGAAGAAGGCCAGTATGGCTGTTACTATGAAACACTATTGCAATTAGAACCCACTGTTTATGTGTACCGTGTCTTCAGGATCATGGTTTGTAACACAGCAGAAAAGAAGCTGTGGGTCTCTGGTTGGGCAGTGAGTAAGATGGGCTCACTGATGTGATTGGCCAGCACAGGGCTACTGGGGATGACTTGACAGGGTTACCAACTCCAGCTAGGGAATTTTTGGGATCTTAGGCCAGGGAAGAGTTTGGGGAGGGGAGGAGGCTTAGGAGGGATGTGCCTAACAGGAGAAACTGAAGTCCTACAACAGCTGTGCTTGAGTTCTTTCATGCGCGTGTGCCTTGATGACATCACCTGGAAGTGACATCATCACGCTGGGCACATCACTTGGTGACATTCTAGCAATCAGCCTGAAAACTCTATGGTACCACAGAGTTTTTAGGCTGATTGCTAGAGCATCACCTAGCGATGTGCCCAGCGTGATGACATCACTTCTGGGTGATATCATTGTGCCGGGCACGTCGACCCAATCTGGCCACTTTGGGGGGTGGGGTTCCCCCCACCGGCTGGATCCGGACTGGTGGGTTGGGGGCCCTTTCGATGGGAACCCCCCGGGAAACCTGGCAGCCCTACTAGATGGACTATTGGTCTGATCCAGCACGGCTCTTATGTTCTGTGTCTCTGAGTTCGGCCTGCCATCTCGAACAAAATGGGGCCCAGTCATCGAAAGACCGTGTCCCCTCATGTAGCTTCCTCTGTCAGAAACTTTGGAAAGGATAGTGGAGAAAACAAGCCACACTTGTCATTCCTCGGGGGAACATCTCGCCAAAATAGTCCAACTGGGATGAAAGCGTCAGTAATTTGTAAACCATCAAGAAGATTTTTGCTCAGAGGTGGGTCTTTTCAAAATGTAATTTTAGAACGAATGTCGCCTCCAAATAGGGTTGCCAACCCCCCCCCCCGGTTTGCCAGGGGTCCCCTGTTTTTTGGGGGGGTCCCAATACCCACAGCCACCCCTCTCCCTTCTCTTTTGAGAGAGAGGGGTGGCTGCCTTTAAGTGCATGGACGTTTCCTCCCAAGCCCGATCTCCGCTTGAGATCAGGCTTGCACTTAAAAGGGAAATGCCGGCTTTTTGCTCCTAAAGGGGAAACGCAGCTCCATGCACTTAAACGGGAAACGCTGGGTCCTTTAAGTGCAGGGAACTGGCCTTTCTGGAGATGAGGTGGGCGGGGCAGCGGACGGACGTCCCCAACGTGATGGACTTGGCAACCCTACCTCCAAAC